TATTTAATCCTTATTGGGCCATAATTGTTAGAATTCTATTGGGTCTGCGAGACCAAGGTCCCAATTCTGCTATTTACACTGGCCTGTCGCTAGAATTCGATACTTTAACGTAACGCTAAACATCTTAGCCGCTTGAAGACTCCTCGTTGACAAAACATTATAGCGACACTGATTTTTTTACACACTGTTCAACGGCTTAGAACGCTATCTATACAGAGTTATATGATAAATGACTTAATAAACATATAATTTAACAATTTTTTAATTAAATTTTGTAATAAATATACACTGCCCACATTAAATACGGGTTGAAACATAATGGACTTCGTCTCAATATTAAATGGTTGGTAGGAATATCCAATTAAATAAAACACTTTAACGGTTTAAAACGCGATATATTAGTTAAACTTATTAAAAAATGATTTTTAACTTCGGCCCGACATTTCGGATGCTTTGCAGCAGCCGTAAATAAGTTTAACTAATATATCGCGTTTTAAACCGTTAAAGTGTTTTATTTAAATGTGTACTCGCGTAAACTATAGACAGTATTTAGGAATACCCTGCGCAGATGCAAAAGCAAGTTTAATCGCGTTTCGGTTTCAGTCTGTCGACCGAATATCCAAAGCCGAAATAGGTCGACAGAAAATCTTGTTTAGATGTTATATAGCTGAGGTATTTCATCTACCTTCAAGTGACCCCATGCTTGTCTGTTCTCAGCTATCATAAAAACAACTTAACTTGCCAATTTCGATACAGTTTATTGTATTGACGTCTTCAGTCAGAGTGTCAGTGGCCTGTCAGGGACCTCTCGCTAGCCACTCACTCTGTCGTGAATTGCCAGAATTGGATCCCTAAATATCTGGAACTTAAATGTAATTGGAGCGAACATTACCAATGTTAATAATGATCTAAATTTGAAGCACTCTACGTCTGAGAGTCCGATTTAATTTTATGTGAATTTGACTTTACAAATATTACTGCTTCTTTGAATTTATAATATCTGCCTACGTCGAGCAACTTTTACGAAGGTTTTTAACGTCATATTGTGACAAAAATGGAGTTATGTGAATGAATAATTAAATTACATAATTTATTAGATTTGTAAATTATTTAAAAATTCTTTCTATACATAATAATACTATCTACTAATATTCTAAAACTGAGGAGCTTGTTTGTTTTTTGTTTGAACACGGTAATCTCAGAAAGTATTGCTTCGAATTGGAGAAATATTTTTGTGTTCATTGAAGAAGGCTTTAGGCTATAAAATAGCTACAAGAAACATAGGGAAAGTGGAAAAACTATCAGTAAAGTTGCGTGCGCTGCGAAAACGGTACAAAATTAAGAAAATGATATGATGTATGACGTATGAACGACTTAATCTTCTTTAAATAATCTATTCAATGTGTCAGACATTGTTTAGATTGTTTAAAGAAGATGTATATCTTTTAAGTTTAACTCACAAGAACCGTTTGACGAGAGCAAAATTTCGTCGAAAAACTTCATATTATGGTAAATAACGATTGCCAGGTCAACTAGTTATCTATACACGATAATTACTACCAAGCGTATAACTCATGTGAAAATTTTCGTATTTGAATTGAATGATCTTCAAATGAAAATTATAGACCAAGTGAAGGTAGATAAAAAATTCTTAACTTCCGTTATCGTTCTGTAAAATCTTTAATAACTTTAATTCAATCGTGTAGAGTCCAATTTCCCACGAGAATAACTGCATGATACAAAATAAATTACTAAACACATTTGTTAGGGGGAAACAGTTACAATGCCTTATCACGACGGAATACAGTTCAAACTTCCGCAGAAATTAATTTACGTACGTAAATTAAAATATGCTATTTTCGTGTGAACGGCTAGTGGGTAAATCACAGTGTTACGTAACTGTTACGTCACTACGTTACCGTACTCATCGCGCAATGTGACCTATGACATCTTTATAGTGTTGCGATTTTTTGCAATTCCAAAATATCGATAAAAATAAGGATTATTATCGAAGAAAGTTTTTATTTCGTCACTAGCTGATCCGTAGAAATCTCTACCGCGTACCAGCCCATTGTTAACTTCTTCAATATATTTATTCTATAAATAAATCACAACAAATATTTGTTCAATACAAGCGGCTAACTAACTTTACTCAGTAAGTTAAACTTCCAGAATCCAGTACGCATTTAATTAAATAGTTTTATTTAGTCATAACTTATTATTTATTTAAATAATTTTACCACGGCTAACTTAAATTAAAAATAATAAAACCAACATGTTTCGCGTTTTAAACCGTTAATAGCATTAAAAATGTAAAGGAGTTTTATGCATTAAAATTTACGACAAGCGGTACGAAGCAGAGTCTTAATTTATAAAATGTGCAATAACATGTAAAAAAAAATCATTGTCAAATCAAAGGGAGTTGTTTTTCCTTTCTTCACCTTACTTTACAAAGAATGAGCGAGATCCGTTCTGCTATTCTCGACATTTTCGCTTACCAAGACATTCATCGTTTACTCTGCACATAGATATTATGTTTTAATAACTAAATTGGGCTTCGCAAACTAAGAGGCTAATAAGTCCGCGAGACTTACCTTCTTGTTTCAATTCATTAAACACAATCTACTTGATAACGCTCCGTTTCCAAGAAGACCACGAAAATATAAAATAAGTTTTAGAATTAACGAGATTAAAAAACACTTTATAAATGTTAGGTATGATTACAAAAATTAAGTTAATTAAATGGAGAAGAGAAATGTTTTTATACTAACTATTCCGTTATTAAATAGTGTATGAAGTATCTATGAGTAGGTATAGTATTAGATTAGATAGATTAGAATTGGTGCACATAATTGTTTACTTAAAATAAAATAACTTTATTTGCATACAAAGTTATTTATATGGCTTTATAGTTTACACTATTTATACCACGAAACAAGATAAAAAATAATATTTTGTGAGTCGATATCACGATAGAAGTGGTAAACTAAACAAATAATTTTGAAAATCTTTACAAAACAAAACGAAGAACTCAAAATAAAGCATAAGTCAATTAAAACACTTTCAAATGCATTCGTTAACTTATTTTTAATTATATATATGCATAAAACTGACAACCGACGTTTAAAAATATCAACCACGACGAAAGAGATGGCGCTAGCATAGCCGATTTGACTTTGCCATTAGGGGCACTGTTCAACTTCATTCTCCACGTCGGGCCGTAGTTAACGTAAATAACTAATAAGGTAACTAATATATTTCGCGTATTAATCTGTTAATAAGGTTCTATTTTAGCTTCTTTAATTAAATTGATTTGAATAACCTCAATAACGCTGCTCTTACTTAATACGAGATCCGTTTATCTGCCTACTTTCTGACTTCATTGAGAAATAGGTTGTAGATCGTTATCGCAGAACTACTGTTTATTGTTTCACGTACGCTGTCCATGGATCGTGATGATACCTATCAGTTTCAGCTTAGCTAGACTAAGAGCTTTTGGAATATCTTAAGCTAATGGATGTTCAATATTAGTATTTCGCGCGTGATAAATTTTGACAATGACGGCTTATCTTTTCATTTTATTCTAGACCAAATCTATAACCAATATTTATATATAAAGCTGAACAGTTTGTTTGTTTGTTTTTTGTGTTGGTTAGAGCATTTATCAAGGAAGACTATATAGCATCGCGCAGTCAATAATAGGAGCAAAGAAACATCGGGAAATATAAAAAATGGAAAATTATGCAGGGTTCGGATGTGTACGCTGCAAGAACGGGTCAAGATACCCAAAAAAATATGTAAGAAAAAATTTTCTGTTTGATGATGATGTCTATCTTTTAAGGTTAACTTGCTAGAACAACGGGACGCGACCAACGTCTTGGGTAATAGCTATATTTATAAAGATGAGAAGTTTGAAAAAACAAATTTTGTCGGCCAGAATAACTACGCGGACGAAATCGCTGACACAGCTAGTAGATAATATACATAACTAAAGCTATCTAAGTACTCAATTTTACAAAATTTTCGGCCAACATAATCAACAACTTATCGATAGGCAAAATATTTAATAAAAATGGTTTTACATTCTATACAAATTAAAGTACAGTAACCTAAGAGCGAGTGAACGTGAGTTATGAACGTATATATACAATCATGTTTATCTATACGAAAAACATCGTACGCGTCGAGTACATCACTAGCTGTGCAGGTGATGATCTATGCAATGACCTCTGCATGAAAAACCAACATTATATCTTCCTGGTTAATGTAAACGAGAAAATTTCAATTGTACAAAAGTCTTAGTTTATACTAATCTACTTTACTGTCTTTGCGCATTTAGACCAAATCCTAGCAAAGAGTAACTCGATAGTTAGGAAAGCATTAACATTCGACTTAGCGATCTGCTGTATTTTTGAGATTGTTAACTGGCCTTCCCCCAAGTCCCTGTGTTTTGTTTACGTTCATATTTAATTAATTAATTTATTTAAAACGTGAATTAAATTTATTTAATTCACGTTAAATCTTATCTAATATAAAAGCCCAGAATCTCGCTTTCTTTATGAATTTGTCAATAAAGTCCCACTATTTATGCCTTTAAGTAACTTAGTTAAGATCACTAATATACTGAATTTCATTTCTACACAGTTGCTCGGAAGAGATGCTATTTAGCTTGTCCAATCACACAAATTTTACTTATATCACGTAGTCCAATCCCATAAAGTTCCTATATATTTACAGTATCCGACCGTACCGGTCAGGTAGGTATACCGTATACCAATTCTTTAACAAACTTAGCGATAAAAAGTGTGTAGCGGCGAGATTCTTGCCAGTACTTCTCGTTCGTTCTACGCTCTTGATTTTATAACTGGGTAGTGAACTGTAAATTTTTTAATTTTTAAATTTCTTAAATTTGGGTAGCTATAAAACTATAATTAACACGTGATTTTTGATTTTGTCCTTTATTTTTTTTCAGAAACAACACGATCGTCACCAGAGGACAAATGGAGGAGAGTCCTCTTTATGAACACAAAGAATTTGAGGTTAATGCCCTTTCAAACTACTATTTAGCATTGGCCATAAGAAAACACATATAACGATTTAAAATGTTTTATTAAACAATTCGTTCTTAAGAACCCATACGTCATCACAAATAAAATTATATATGTAATCAATTATCCACCTAACCATATTGGTTCGATTTATTTATTTGTACAGACATATAATTATGTTTGTATAAATAATATCTTGCATCCTCGCGTCTGAACTTTTCTATTAGTATTGGTCGTAGTTTACAAGCAATGTACATATTTAAATAAAACACTATTATCGTCTTCAAACACGAAATATATTAGTTAAACCGATTTTAGTAGCAGCTAGCAGATTTAACTTAACTTATGGACACCCTCCATCTGCTTAATTCTCCCCCCGAGACCATGACTACTGCAAAGCATGCGAAGCGTCGGGTCGTAATTATAAGTTTAACTAATATACTTCGCGTTTAAACCCTTAAAAGTGTTTTAAGCTAATACATAAATATTCCTAAACAATAGTTTAATTGCTTTTAGCCAGGAGAAGAATGTGACACATGGGAGGTAAGCAGATCACGGGTCCATCTTGGAACATTGATCGGCAGTGGAGCTTTTGGACGAGTGCATGCAGCACAACTGGATATGCCTGGTGGAGAAACCATTATTGTGGCTGCTAAAATGTTGACAGGTAAAAATATGTTATTTATTCTTAACAAAGAGTTTTAGTACATCATATTGTTAACTAGCTGACCTGGCAAACATTATATTGCCATAAGAAGTATTTTGACCAAAATTTGATTGCCATGTTCTTGTGGGTTAGTCTTATACACATATACCGCGCGGTCTTTTTTGAGATCATTTAAAGAGGAATCATTCTTTCGTGCATATTTGTTGGTCCTGGGAACTGTATCGTTGAGTTAAAACGTCTAACTCAACGATACAGTTCCCAGGACCAAGCCGATCTTAATTTGGTTATATTACCTAGATAAGGCATTGTCTTCATCATTACAGATATATAGATACTTGATATGGTTCATACTATATTTTTAAATTTCTACTTAAATTTCTCGACTAGGTTGATCTATTTTTCTGTACGTATTTTACATATGTTTATCATTTTTTAAATCCACAATGGGCCAGCCATTTATCTGGTTAATTCAAGATTAAATGGATTCTATGAGGTACTGGCTGTAGAGTACATTTAAATAAAACACTTTAACGGTTTAAAACGCCATAAATTTTCTTCGATACTTTCAACGATAAACATCATATAAAAAACGAATTAATTCACTTCTATAACTCTATATCTATTTGAACTCATACACGATTCATTTACTTGTCTCATTACCATATAGAAAGATCGATTCTCTCACGAAACAGTGGCAGGGCCTAATGAATTTGCATTGACAATTACCTTACATAAAATAGGAAATGAAAGTTGATATTTCACTCAGTTCTCAATGTCACTCACCGTAGGACTGTGTAATTGTTGTCTTCCTTGGTTTTTCTTATTCTTCATCTAAAATGGGGTGGTAAGTTTGACAGTTCGTAACACATAAATAAGACGAGGTACAATAGAAAATCTATGGTGAAGATTATAACATATTACATGCGGTAAAAAAAAATAAGTATAGTTCTTACTTTGCTTTGATTTTTATTATTTATAATAAAGACAAATTCATAAATAATTACCATACATGGCCATGTATATAATTCTTTGTTTATTTATACTAATTAATATATCAACTATCGGTTTTGACAAATTGTTCCAGGCTCCGGTTTAAATCCCGCCCGTGTCGTAATTTTTTTAATATTTAGCTTAATATACTTTAATTAATTAAAAGTTTCCAAATCTTATAGATAGACAAACTATAATAATACACTATGAAGACTGTAAATGTCTTTTTACGGACGTTATTTCGATATTCCTACCACTCATTAAATTTTTAGATGCTTTCGACGAAGACGACCGTTTAGACCTTAAGTTCCTTAAGTCCTACATTGACATGATTAGAAACATGTTAAACCCACGAAGTCGTCAAATATATTCTTGTCATAAACAAAGACATTTTTTATCTTATATTATAGCAAGACGAAGAATCAACGTTCACAAGAGTAGCGCTGAACTACTTTGCTTTCGAAATTTAAAAATCCATAAACAAGAGTTGAAAGTCTATGTCTCTGTAGATACGAGACATTGTAAGAATTCAGATCAAATCTAATCAACTCATATAATTTATACCCACAAAAATACGATATATACTTGTAAATAATAAAATAGATGTGGAGGGATACCACTCACTTTTTGGCCAACGCTTTTTAGCTCCGCGAAATATAACTCATTTCTAACATTTTCGTTTTTATCTGTAACTCTTTGCTTCTAGACAATGCGTCTGGAGAAGAAATGCAAGATTTTCTTCGTGAAATCGCGATGTTAAAGCACGTAGGTTATCACAAACATGTGATACGGCTGGTAGCGTGCTGTACAAGAAGACCACCCCTTATTGCCCTACTGGAACACGCTCCAAGGGGCGACCTGTTGACGCTGCTGAGATCAGCTAGAGAAAAGAGGAAAGCTGTACCCCAGGAAAGATAGCGTCAAATCCACTAGCCATATAAATGGAAGACCATCTGAGACAGACAGTGAGTACTTTACAATAAATGCTATCTGTAGTTTACGCGAGTAGTACACATTTTAATAAAACGTTTTTATTAGTTAAATTTATTTGAGAGGCTCAAAGCATCAGAAATACATCGCATTTCGCGCGAAAGCCGATCAATGAAACAAAACACAAAAATAATGTATTCGCCCCACGAGATATTAAGGTAGTATTTAGATAAAAGACAAGCAGAGTATTGTCTAAAAATCCATTAATAATGTTTGGGTTGTATAAAAAAACACTTTTAACTATCCTAAACGCGAAATATATTAGTTTACTTAATTACAATTTATTTTAACTCCGGCGCGACGTTTCGGATGATTTGCGGCAGATTAGTAGATCACAAAAAAATTTATGGATATCCAGTCATTTCTTGTGATTATTTATTAAGTCGTCAAATAAAATATTATTGTTAACTTTTGCAACAATTTAAAACCTTCAAAGTCCAACATTCAATCCGACGAAAATGTATCGCCTGTACAAATCCTACTAGCAAATAATTATTGAGTTATTATTTCCTTGTTATTTTGTGTGCTGTCGACTTATTTAGGCTTTGGATATTCGGAAATGCACAGACTGACACCGAAACGCGATTAAAATACGACTACCTTTATTTAAAAGCGATGAATTTAGATTTATTTACTCCAGCCACGGGGGTGCTCGAATAATACATTATTATTTACCCAAAGTTAAATCCGAATTCGAGATCAATGAAGAACCGCCCCACGGCGGTAGGGCTTGGGAATTGTGGTTTTAAAGGACAGGCGGCCTCGTTCCATATTTACAATAAGAAATCTTGTATTGTAGTGTATTCCGCATATTGTTAAGGTAATTATTTATCAGGGAACAGTGAACAGAAGACACTTTTTATCCCCTAAGGGCTTGTGTCTAATACATTTCTGTATCCGTAATGATCGAAATGTTATTTACAGAAATAGCTACATCAAATCTTCTATTTTAATTTTTCAAATAACATGTAATCCTAATTTAAACCTGTAGGACTACGTCTGGAAATCTGGATATTAAATAGGTGGTAGAAATATATAAATCCCGTCCGGGTCCACCACCGTCCACAGGCGAAAAATCCGTGAAGCTTAATCGCGTTTCAGTTTCAGTCTGTGGATTTCCGATTACCCTAAGCCAAAATAGGTCAACAGCGATCTTGTTTAGATGTTATAGTCTGGGGTATGTATATCACCTACCATCGAGTCAACCCCATGCTTGCCTGTCCTCCTCTATCATAAAAAACCTTAAAAACGCTTTTAATTTCAGCCGAATACACGAACATCAGTGATTCGGATCCACCTTTAGAAGAATCCGAGGCCAAGTGCTACACGAATTCAGACCAAGAGATCAAGTGTAAGCACCAGTACGTAGCTGAACCAGCATTACACCTGGACAGCACCACGATGCGAGATTATGCCCTTCAGGTGGCGTTGGGAATGCAGCATTTGGAAGCACGAGGGATAACCCATCGGTAAGTTATTACTAGGGATCCCTTGGTTTTCCCAGGGCTTCCTCAAAGCACCGTGGCGGGCTGGTGGTGTGTTTAGTGGTTCCGGTCGGCTATTGCCTTCGAGGAGGTGGTAGTTTAATTCACCACACTATTGCTCGACGTGGACGACTTCGGCAGCCGATACCGGCTTGGCTTTATTTAAGTGAATACTGTCTATAGTTTACGCGAGTAGTACACATTTGAATAAAACACTTTAACGGTTTAAAACGCGATATATTAGTTAAACTTATTTGAAAATTATTTTTAACGTCGGCCCAACGTTTCGGATGCTTAGCAGCAGCCGTGGTCACGGGAGATATAGAAATTGAATGCATATTAGGTCCTTTACTAACAGCTAAAATGTTCACATAATCTAAATAACCAGTTATATCGGTAACAAATATTTTTTATTGCCAGTTTTTGCCATCAGTAAGTACAAATTAAATAAAACTTTGAAGTAATGAAACTGGATATATATATATCTTTTAAATTGATGAATTTTGTGGAAACTAAATCTCTCTTTGATGACGTCTGTAATACATATTGAAGTTCGCTTAAAATATTTTAGTAGAGAAATGTTATTTATATGATGTGCATGTTTGATATCGATCTGTGGCCTGGGGCATTTATATTCTCTTTTTTGAGGTTATGTTGTAAACTATTTATCTGTTCCCTCGGGTGCCCTCAAATAAATAAAGGTCCTGTAGAAATTCTATTATTTTATTTGTCGAATTACATTTCAAATATTGACATAAGACCTCCCCGTATTATTAAATCAATCTCACGGGTCACTTTTCTAATTAAATTTTACGAATTCGAATCGGATAATTGATCTACACTTAAGTGTTTTCATAGCAGGAGTTTTCATTTATTATTTTGAAGTAGGACTATTAATCTATACTAATATATAAAGCTGAAGAGTTTGTTTGTTTGAACGCGCTAATCTCAGGAACCGCTGGTGGGAAAATGTTTTTGCGTTGGTAAGATCATTTATCGAGGAAGGTATAAGACTATAATACATCGCGCTGCGACTTTTAAGTCTCAGTTACAATTTTATCTTCACTTTATTCCTTTCTTTTTCATGATCCTTCCTACACCACCTCTATAGTCCTTTTATTTTATATTTTGTTTTTCCCTTCACTTCAGGTTGCCTGGAAGAGATCGCTAGCATAAGGCCGTCTTTTAGTTATAACCTATACATAAAAATTGTGTAAACCATTTCTTGGTGTTTGTAATTAATAAAGTTATAAAAATAAGAGCAGCGAAGAAAAAACGGGAAATGTAAAGAAATTCCACGACACTACTATCTTTGAATATATACTTGCAAGAACGACGGGACACGACCGACGTCGTATAAAATAACTATTCTACGCGGAAGAAGTCGCGACAAACAGCTAGTTATAATATTTTCATTACTACATAAATCGACCTTTGACAAAAACACAAAACTAAACAGCGGCTATAATATTTTTAAATTAGACTTTGTATGATAGAAATTCTAAATTCGATTTTTCCAATAGCAATATTGAAAAATCAATTGATAATATATTACATGTTTAAACTTTACGTTTATAAATAATAAGTAATATTTATAAATATTTATATTTTAAGTTTAGCACTTCCTGCGCATACCCCTAATTTAATTTACGTTATTTTCCAAAAAAATTGTTGCCTGGAAGACATCGCTTGATAGCGATAAAGTCGCACGTTACACTCCATAGTTTATTTATTTTTTGGTTCATTGTAATTGTGTGTACGTCGTATTATAAACGATACATAAATAAATTAAATTTTAATTTTAAACGCTACCGAAGCTACCTAGAAAGCTAGCATAATTAAACCTCTTTACAATACAATAAAACCATACAACGAGAGATGTTGCCAACCTTTTTCATATTCCTTCATCGGTTCACTTTGATTATCCTCTACAGCTACCTAATTATCCTGAAAACTCCTGAACAAAATAATTTCCTTCATTTTAATATAATATTAATTAACAGAACAAAATTTGAACAAGTACGAACCACAGTTATCGTTAAGTATACCTTATTGTTAGTATAAACAAAGCTTTAGTACAAGAACAAGTTTGTTGTTTCGTTATAAAATGGTACGAAAAGTCTTCTAGGTTTGAAAAAATGTAATCTGCACTATAACTATTACTTAACTGACTAAATTGCTTACCTACCTAGAAAGAATATAAAAAAAATATGTTCTAAATAAAACACTTTAAACGGTTTAAAACGCGACATGTATTAGTTATGTATCTATTATTAAGACGGACGATCCGACATTTTGATTGCATTACGAACGCTGTAGCGGAAGGATCTTAGTGTATTTTTATTAAACTGTTTTATTTAGATCACCCCGTTAGTTTTTTTTTATTTATTATTTATTCTTGGGTCAAATTTAGTACAAATTATCGAATTAATGTGCGATAGAAGAATCGTTTAATTGGTCGTTAGACAGACAATTGACGTGCCCCACGGCTTTATTTTAGTCTAATCTATGCATATTATGTTTATAATTCCGTGGCGGGCCTTTAAGGCATTCTGCGCCGAGGTCCTCTCGCAGGCGCGCGCGGCAGGACACGCAAGCGCGGGCATGCGAGTTAAAGGCAACTAACCGCCCGCTCGCGTCTGGCAAGTCTCCCGTAGGCTCTTGGAGGTTTACTGGGTAGTAGCCAAGCTGGCCGACCCCCACACTCCCCCCGTCACTTGATGTGACCAGGCGGGGGCGTCGGTAAAGATTCGATTCCTCCAAGTAAAAAAAAGGGGATGAAAGTTTGTATGGAAATTCGTGGTTTTTAAAGCTAGAACAATAAAACTTTCTTCTTTGGCTTTTTGGAAATAGGAATGGGAGTAGGTTTGGGAGTGGGAGTGGGAGTAGGAGTTATGTAAGGTGGGGGTGTTGCGGCAAAGTAGCACTAACAACATAGACTGACTGCCTTAAATGCGCCCTTACACAAATTAATAAAAAGCCTGAATAATAAAAAAATCTTCCCCAAGTCACTATTCGACGCGGACGAAGTCGCGGGCACAGCTAGTTCTTTATAATTGTGTAAGTGTGGTACTTGTTTGGTATGTACCTACATAAATAAGGCAACCTACACGTGTTGTCGAGAGAGAATGAAAATAATATAAATTTACGTTTAAGCAAAAATTTATTTTTTAAGGCTTCTACTTAAAAAATGTAATAAATCATAATCATGATTTTTTTATAATGATGATAAATATACCGGAAAGTATAGGGCTACTTTCCGGTACTTTGGGATATAGCACACGTCCCAAATTCGTCTGTAAGTTAAATATGCACTTATTTGTATAAACGTGAATTATATTGTATTGCATGTATAAATATTTAGTTGATAAGCCTTCAAGAATATACAATTAAATTGAGCAAAATACAGTAATTAAAAGTTACCATTCATCACAGGGACTTAGCAGCGCGGAACATTCTAGTAGATGGCGCTGGTGTTTTGAAAGTCGCGGATTTTGGTCTCTCTCGATCTGGAATTTACGTCCACACAAGATCCAGGCCGGTCCCGCTGAGGTGGCTAGCCCCGGAAGCCATTTTCAACTCACAATATAGTAGCGCAACGGATGTCTGGGCGTTTGCTGTTCTGCTTTGGGAAATAGCTACTTTTGGTAAGTTTTTATTTTTGGGTTTGCTCAATGGAAGGTGAAACCAATCATTTAACATCTAAACAAGATGCGCTGCTTGCCTATTTTGACTTATATTTGAACCGACTGAAACTGAAATGAGGTAAAATTATTTTTGCCACAATACATCTCCGTTCGGATTATAAAAAATAAAAATACCGGTTAATTGCCTCAAGACAACAACTTGGGTTCGATGCCCTCCAGAGCCATCGAATGTTTTCAAAGTAAGAAGGTTTTACCTTTAATTACGTACTTCTTGCAATGAAAGTCTCAATGGTATCGAGAGAAAGTTGATTTGTCTTTTGACATAGATTTTTAGGGCTAAATTCCCCTATGTTATTTTCTATAAAGTTGTTAACTTACACTGTCATTAAGAATCTAAGTTATTTATAAAACTAACTTCACAATACTAGATAACCCTTAGAACACATAAAATTCCGCGTTAGTACAACTTATTTGTATTGTTTCATTATATTGTCCGATCAACGTAAAATAAAGTTTAAAAGTAAGTTATTAAATAAAAATCAAATCGAACGTTTTCTTAGCTATCCTTAACTATTTACATAAAAAAATATGTAAAACAAGCTTTGGAGTAAGAACTAAAAATCAATTTTGGTCACAGGTGGATTTCCTTACGCTGAGCTTAGTAATCAGGAAGTACCCGAATACTTAACAAGAGGTGGTCGCCTATCAAAGCCTGTGAGAGCTTCGCAACGTTTGTATCAACTGATGGAGGAATGTTGGTCAGAAGACGCAAACCTTCGGCCTACATTCACCCAAATCGTCAATAGACTTACTGTCCAGAACCAACTATATGTAGATTTAGACTGTGTATTTCCACCTTTAGAGGAAAATTTCTCTGAACACGAAAATAGTATGGACTATACCTTCGATGCGGACAGTGAAAATGTATTTCACACGTAATTTTCAAAGACTGAATAGTTTAAGTTATTTTTATTTATTAAACGTTTCTTTAATATCTCTATAATTGTTTTTCTGTTTTATTTCACAGATATTTTCTAACAAAGGTCTCGGTGTGTAAATAATAAGTTTTAAAATTGAATTTTAATTATTTTATCAATATTGTTGTGCCTTTGCTACAAAACATACGATCAATTATTGCGCTATTAAGAAATCTGAAGTTTTGATGACCCTGTCAAAAACAAAAAAAAACTCGCTACATTAAAAATGTACCTGAATAACAAAAAAGAAAACTAACCAAACTTTCTACCAAAAAGTCACAAATACAACAATCTTAAACTTCATTAAATTAATTATTTTCATTGATACATCCTCTCTACTTGGCACTAAAACTTACTCGTAATTTCTGTTTTCCCTTTAGTTAATAAAACTATAAAAGACACGCTCAATTTGCGCATTCGTTTTATATTAATCGAATTTCCTTCTCAGTCAATTATTCTCTGGGGGCGGCGAATGCTTTTCAATAAACGACAAAATCATGGGAGACAAAAGACACGAAATAAATCGAGTTAAACGAGCAAAGTATGTAGATTTACTTTAATTTAAATAATTGACTATCGCTATTAGTTTACACTTCGTCTTGAACTAAGAAATAGGGTTATACAAGAGAATTTAACTTGTTAAAAAAATAATAAAACCTTACAATGTAACAAACAATCAAATTTTGTAATTACAATACAAACACTTATCGATAATAATTCCTTAAATATTTTGTTACAGTGCATACACATAGTGTTATAATCTCGTTTTGTATATTATTTACAATTAAATCGGTTTCCACGAAATGGCCAAAACCGGGAAACGATACTCTAATATTTATAGCCAACCCAGTAGAAGCAGACATGCCTGGCCATTGGATGCCATTAAGCGTTCTAAAGATCATTCTAGGAGGTTCCACAAAACGAATACCGATTCCTACGAAGAAAATAAAAAAGTTAGTATTGAAAATAACTGCTAAGACTACAACAGAAGCAACAACTACTACAGTGGCAGAAACAACAACTGAAGCTACGACAGAGCCTCCACCGCCGCCACCAGTACCAACTACGACAACAACATCGACTACAACAACAACAACTACAACAACACCATCACCTACAACAACTGACACAACAACAACACCTACAACAACCACAACACCGACTACAACCACAACACCGACTACAACCACAACACCGACTACAACCACAACACCGACTACAACAACAACGCCAACTACAACAACAACGCCAACTACAACAACAACGCCAACTACAACAACAACGCCAACTACAACAACAACGCCAACTACAACAACAACGCCAACTACAACAACAACGCCAACTACAACAACAACACCAACTACAACTACAACTACGACACAACAACAACAACAACCACAACAAAACCACCAACTACAACGAAAAGGAGAGGACCGCCACGTCGAATTAAACCTGCTACTGACGCTCACGAGAATTTGAACTCCTAAATTGTATAAATACAATTTACAAGTATAAATCAGATAGATATAAATCAAGCAGATCTGCTTGATTTAATCTAGAAGTTTAACGCAAAAATAAGTGGATCTTAATGTAGTGAGTTATAGTTCTTAATTTTGCGTGCAATGATAATGTTTTATTATCTAATGTAAAATATATTTTTGGATATTCGCAATCTTAAAAGCATAGACAAAAATTGATGTTTTTGAATCTTGATTTGCACGCCACCTATTTCACTTCACGTGTACTTAATTAAAGCTTTGGCATATATTAAAGCTTAAACCTCCTTCATATTACTTCAATTACATTTTAATCGTACAAGACAGCGTATATATAAATATAAATAGCTTATAACACGACCCTTGATTCTTAAATAAAAATTAAAAACATTTATTTTATGCTTCGTGTTATTTTTGGTTAACTTATTTGACAAGGAATGTATTATTGAAGTCGTATATTATAATTATGTTGTTTTGCACGCCCTCTATCGGATTAGCAATACATTTGTTTTAATTCCTACTTTCTATTGTATTTGCATATTACCAAAAGAGATAGCGTAAAAAAAATAATAGGAATAAAAAATGTTTGGGGTACACTATAGCTACAGTTAGTGTGTGACAAGAGATGACGCTGATATAAAAATGATGCAAGTTATTTCTTTTATTTATAATAGGAAATTATATTTATTTATTTATTAGATTCACCAACGTTCTTACAACTAAATACTTAACCTGAGATATATGTTTAAGGGGACACAATAGGTTGTGAAGAACAATTATAGGCGAATACAGCAAGTAAAAACAAATATTATAAGAGAGAAGAGCACACATTGTAAAATTAAGTGGGAATAAACTTATACATTAATTTATGAAAAAAAAAAGAAAAATAATATACAAAACAAAGTATTTTTTTAATGAAGGGCCTATATATTGAGATAAAATTTATTAATAAGTAATCGACAGAGTTGGGTTGGGTGAGTCATTGTAAATATCGACTAGGCCCCTGAAAACTGATATCACAATATTGTTTAATACGAATGAACTAAAATACAAGTACATACAAAATAAGATATTAATCTAAACATAACATTCTTTATATTATATGATGTCATCGTATTAATATATTGAACTTTGTCAATAACGAAAATGTTTGTTCTAGGTGTACCTGCTATTCGACAGCAAAACAAGTTTTATCTTTCATTTTGCCCACTTTCGACGTAAATATTTAAAGAGCTTAAGAAAAGCTTTTAACGTGGTCATTAGAATTAAAAATTCAAGTACAACACTTAAACTAAAGTGCCACCAGGGTATTAGGACATTTATCCGGACTTATTGTTTGTTCTGGCGCTATCTCCGATCTGATAACCAGCAGGCGCCGGTCAATGTGCCGCCACTACACGAGCGATAAACGATAGCGAAGCGAGAAGCGATGTCTAAGTCGGAAGTCGTATACACTTAAAAGCAACGCTAGCAACATTTTGTACATACATTGTGTTGTGTCAAAACTCAGAATTTACTTACAAAAACATTAAAAAAGCAATCTGGTAAGTCAGTATAGCTAGAACAAAAAAGGTTATTAACGAACTAGCTGACCTGGCAAAAGTTCCTTTGAGTACCAAATGTAGGCATACAGTTCATTTAAAGAACAACGATTCTTTTGTATATATTATATGGATACTTCAACTGTTTTCGCAGCATACGGAACGGGAGCCCTCAAAGATGACTAGGCCCCGTTTTTTTACCACATTTATCTCCATTCCTTCTGTCTATGTTTTTAATTAGAAACTTTATAATAATAGTATAGATAATTTAAGTACAGTTGAGTATTTAAACAAAACACTTTAACGGTTTAAAACGTGATATATTAGTTAAACTTATTTGAAAATTATTTTTAACTTCGGCCCGACGTTTCGGATGTTTTGCAGCTGCCGTGGTCACGGCTAAGTTTAACTAATATATCGCGTTTTAAACCGTTAAAGTGTTTTATTTAAATGTGTACTACTCGCGTAAACTATAGACAGTTTACAGTTGAGTATACAAAAAACTATAGATTATTATTACGATAACAAGTGAACTACTCTCAATGAGTAAAAGAAATATTATTATAATATGACACAAGCAGAAACTAAATCGCTTTTCTTGTGGCGCCTGGAGATAGGATAGCCTGTTCTCGGAATTTCTCCCGCATAATAATTAAACTTTACAATGAGAATTTTAAAAATTCCTTTGTTTCATTCCAAAAACGAGTCATCGCCGAACAAAAGACTTGTGTGTGCGCTTAGCTCACCTTCTTAAGAAACTGACTAATTATAAATAACGGTACAATATAAAAAAAAAAACTTTAGTTAAGTCGTTTGCTAATTACTTGATTTTAATTTATATTAGGTTTACTTTTATATTCACACATGGTTGGCAATTCTTTCCTTTTTTCTTATACTCATATATCTTAACATCAAATTTAAAAAGTCAAAGTACATTTTGTTTAATATAAGAAACAAGAGTCATTATACTCCAATAATTAATAAATATAGGTTTCTGGCATTCCGGCCCAGACAAAGGCTGTATGCGATCGACGTTAAATTCTTTTCTTCCTTTTTGTTTGGTTTTGTTGCGCGTGCGCCGTATACTGTTCAATTTCGCCTCTGTTTCAATCGAGAGGCCTTTTGTCCTTAGTTTACAGCTTTAGGGAAGGTTTAAAGGGAAATTACCTTGTGTTTTTAGACTTTTATGAGCGAAATGAGTTTACTAGTAATATATTTTACCTAAAACAATAGAATATTAGAGATGCCTACGTAATCAATTTATTATTATTTATTAATCTAATGTACCAAGAAGGTTTTTGTTTATATACACTATTAACGTATATTTACAGAATAGCCAAGCTTAGTACAGTATGAAATTATTAGCTATAATATAAATAGAAATGTAAAACTTTAAATCTACTAGGATTTGTATGAACAAAATAAATGAAACTGATTAATAAGATCCCGCTACACATCCCTAATACGCCTATTTCTCTCTCATTCTTACCCGCACTGGTACTCCACTGTCTCACTTTGACAATCATGGCCGGGGTAAAAAAACTTCTTTATTCGGTCAAATATTGGATAAATTGTCGTGTTATTCATTTTAAGTTTCATCCAGGTTTAAAAAATAACAATTACAGTAAACTAAGATATAATGATATATACATTATTGCAATTATTGACGCGAGTAGTATATGCTACACAATTTAACGCTTTAAAACTTGAATTATAATGATTATTTAATTTTTAATTACGGCCAGATTCGGTCGGGAAGGGACATAAATATGATCAAGGTCTTGCTTTTAATTCTCGATCAGTTAAACAGACACAGAAAAGTGTTTGCGGCAATGGCCACATTATGAAAACAAACGAATTAGAAAAACTGTCGACTGTTCTTTCACAGCAAGGTTAAAATTTATGTAATATATATTTTCCATTGTAATTTCTGTATGTACATGATTGGGTTTGGATACAATTATTTGAAGTTGAAAAATACAACAATCGTGCACATTCGTTATTTTTAGTCAGGTAACACCGACCCGCTCTAACGTCAAGCCAACAAAAAGTTATTCAGTGACATTTAGACGTGGCGCGGAGAGGTTGTGTCGCCGCGTTACAAAAAATTATGAGCGCGTGGTAAAGTAAATTTACTAAAACTAAACAAATATTGAAAATTGATTTACTTTCAAACCGTAAAACTAAGTGCTTGGTGATTATGGATTCGTAAATAATAACAATGGACGGATTTAAACGTAATCCGGTGATGTTATGGTGATTTTAATGTGTGTTTGTTGGTAATAGACTGTAATTGATCTATAACTATGGCTAATTTTAGCGTGTGTTTAGTACTGATATTATACCAATTCTCAGTGGCTTTTAGTGACGAAGCGTCTTCAGAATTATCGGATCTTGGACTGACAGGTGAGATATACACCGACTTTCTATGAATAATTTGTTTAATATTAAGAAAGCTGCTCCTAAAACAAATGCTTTAATTAATTTTGTTGTCAATTCAAGCTTAATATAATAATAAGATACACTATATAGATATAGATATACTATATAAGATAAACTATAATACTAGTTTCATAGAATTGTTATATAAAAATAAAAGCAACTTATATTTGTATAAATAGTCGTACATTCATTATAGGATTATTAATGAGGTAACTACATATAGTAGATGTGTCACTAAAAACAATTAGATGGATTTCTCTTTTTCCTTGACCTCTGTAGCCCAGGGATTAAAGGCATAGATACTAGTTGTGGTAGATGTTCTGGAAAATAAGTAGATTTTCTGTTCAACGCAGGGGATATAAAGTTGCTCAACTGGTACTGCCCTGTACAATTGGTACAATGATATTAATAATAATGTTTTTGATCTATCGTTATGTGAATTCATGATAGTTTCCATTAGAATTACTTAAATTTTATTCATCAATAATATTCAATTAGAAATATATCTATTTTATGTAGTAACCGTAAATACTGTATATAACGATTAAGATATAAATAAGGTTAAATTAAAACCTAATAATTAAATACGATGCTCATTACAATATGTTGATTAGTCTCATCCGATTTTTTAATTGTTTCAAGTTTATTTGAGGGCAATAATAATCACTTGTTGATGATTATTCTGTTGTGGCCGCGAGTGTAACGCAAATGACTACCGGCCGTCGAAAAGCGTCCGAAACATCGGGTCGCAGTTAAAATAAATTGAGAAACACATTTCGCGTTTTAAACAGTTAAAAGTGTTTTTTTTTTCGTTGTTCAAATCGTATCGATTTATAATAAATAATTAACGAGAAAAAGCCGTTAAGTATAATCGCGTTTTGGGTTTCAGCCTATGCTGAACATCCATTATATAGCTGACATATTTCACCTTCTATAAAGCAAACCCTATACTTTCAAATAAAACACTTTAACGGTTTAAAACGCGATATATTAGTTAAACTCCCCCTGGCCACGGCTGCTGCAAAGCATCCGAAACGTCGGGTCGAAGTTAAAAATCATTTTTAAATAAGTTTAACTAATATGTCGCGTTTTAAACCGTTAAAGTGTTTTATTTAAATGTGTACTACTCGTGTAAACTATAGACAGTATTTAAACCCTATACTTTTCTGTCCTTCTCTATCATAAAATTAATGCTTTCTTGAATACACAACTTAAGTTCAAAAGTGATAAGTTCTAGGAACACAGATTGTGTTTAATAAGCTGTATTTAAACAGTTTTATGCAAGATAAGCGTGTTTCCAGAAAGATTACGGTTCATTCGGTCACAGTTTATCGAAGGCTATGAAAATCTGTCGGTTTTTATCAATTACTTGGTATTTTTAATAAAACATATTTCTTATAATAGATTATGTGAACTGTTTCTGTTACTGACATAGCATTTCTTCTTTCTTCTTCGCTTGATCGTAAGTGAATACCAAGTAAAATCTAAACAAGAAGCGCTGTCGACTTATTTTGGCTTTGAATATTCTCAATCACAATGTATTGAGTTAAACGCGATAGGTCGCGAATTCGAATCCTGGGGATCACAATATTTTTTCAGTCAAACAGTCTCTGACAAACTGAACCGTTTTTGCAGCGCACGCAACAGAAACTTTTAAAGATGAATTCCCACTTGCAGCAGCCGAAACGTCGGGCCGAAGTTAAAAATAATTTTCAAATAAGTTTAACTAATATATCGCGTTTTAAACCGTTAAAGTGTTTTATTTAAATGTGTACTACTCGCGTAAACTATAGACAGTATTGAATTCCCACTGTTTCTTCGCTTCTATTGGTCGCAACGTGATCTTTATAACCTAAAGCCTTCCTCGATAAATGATCTAAGACAAAAATATTTTTTCAATTCAAAGCAAGTTTCTGAGATTCGCGTCTTCAAACGAACAAACTCTTCACCTTTATATATTAGTATAGATAGATAAATAGATTTCTGTGTTAGCTCATTTCTTGTAGTATACCAAAGTCTGTGTTGCCAGCTACTGATATAAGTCAAGTCTCAATTAGTAACAGCTCCTGGGCTGTATCGATTTACTAATGTAACCAGTATCGATGGGTCTGATGACGTCACAATGTAGGAGATATCGTATCAATAAGATCAGATAAACCGCAGACCTGGCGCCGCGACAACGTCAATCTAAACTTTAATGCAAACAAACGGATAAGCACATTATTGATATATTATATCATCACTAATTATATATATGTGACTTTGATAGACGCCGAAAGTGTTTTACGTACATTTCGTTTCGTATTGCCTGGCTCGTTGGTGTAACAGAAGCGATGTATGGCTAATAAATTTTTTTCTACCATAACAAAAATAGTTTATATCCCACTGCCAGGCCCAATTCTATGTCTTACAAGGAACAGTTTAACCATTGCAATTTGGTGATCTTTAATCTATCGCTATTAAATTAGAGTAAAAATACACGTTAGTAAAAGTGCTTCAGGACTTCGGACTGCTACTAAAAACCTTTAAAAACATTCGATTACCGAAGTGACCTCATGATCTGAAGCTGGTGTACAAACTATATCGACGAAGCGTTTACTTGAATAATAAGGCATGTTTTTACGTTTAATAAAAAAGCAATTAATATGTATTTGAAGTTACTTGAATCATTTTTTACAAATATGTTACTATTAAAAAGTATACTATACATCTAGTAGTACTACTCTATCTATCTGTCTTTTAAATTGGACCGGTCTCAACATTGAATTTAACATCAACCAATCTTATCAAAATCTACCAGACATCAAATAAACATTAATTATCAACTTGAAATAATATTGTCTAGAAATGTTTATTATTTAGTCATATCTAAACGAAAAGGACTGTAATATGTTTGTCATTAGAATACTCCTATTAGGTGCAAAGTAGTTTTCGGTGCTCCGAGGGTATAGATTAGAGATGGGTTGAGTACTCGGTTGATACTCGGTACTCGGCGGGTTTTTTAATACTCGTACTTAACCGAATAACTCGGTTATACTTCGTATTTAATAACAAGTATACTTTGCTTAAGAAAAGCAATATTTAGGAAGATATAATTAACTGTTTGTAGAATAGCAATATTTAGGAAGGTATAATTAACAAAATCTTTGTAAAATCTCAAATACTTAATAAAATCAATGATCAAAAGATGAGAGCGAGCCGACGTCTTGAGCGGCGCAAACCTGTTTGTACTTGTTTACGCACGCGAAATGGAAATTTGATTGAACCAAGTTACTCGGCCGGGTAAAAAAAATGAGCCGAGTAAACCTCGGTACTCGTTACTCTGCAAAAGTGTTACTCGGCGCATCTCTAGTATAGATAGATACATTTATTCCGAATGCAACATGTGTTAGACATGCGTCGGGTATCGGCGCCACTGACGTCACGGGATTCAATAGGATTCCAGCTATCCTGCTTTGCTTAATCCCATTAGCAGTGATTTTTATTCTACTTGAATTATGTACTGTACTCGCTCTGTCGTAGAATTTTGGGTATAACATTATTTATTTTTGCAAACAACCTTCGCAACTGTAATAAATTATAGTTGTTAATAACATCGACGTCCGCGTCGTTTTTGCAAGTTAATCTTAAAAGATAGACATTTTTTTAGATCGTGAAGAATCATTCTTTCATACATATTTTTTGGTTTCTTAAACCGTTTTCGCAGCGCACGCAATGGAAGTCCTCAAAGATGAGCAGGAATCGCCGTTTTTTTCACATTTTCCTCTGTTTCTTCGCTCCTATTAGTCGCAGCTCGATGTTTTATAGCCTATAAAGCCTCCCTTGATAAATGGTTCAAGAATTTCTCAATTCCAACCAGTAGTTTCTGAGATTAGCGCCCTCAAACAAACGAACTTTTCACCTTTATAATGTTAGTATTGAATTATTATTTCCTAGTTCGTTGCAACGTTGGTTTAAAACTTACCGTCCGCTAATTATTGCTACGTAAAAAACTTGGGTAACAAGATAAATTATATTGGCCCAGGGACTCGGAATTTACTTTGTTTCTTCTAAAAACGATTTGGAAAAATTCCTCACGTAGTGACAGGTCCTGAGTGGTCCCTTTTTGTATTAAATGTTTTTATGCTGCGTCTAAATATCTGAAATGCTATAAATTTGCATTCCAGGTTTGAATTTAAATATTGTGACTGAACAGGATATAAAATAAAACACAAACCGTTATTGCAAATCAATTTTGAATGTTATTATGCAAAACAGTGCCATTGCGATGCAGAGAATTAATATTAAGGATTCGTTTCGCGTGCCAATTATTTTCAGCAACTCGTCAATCAACGTTATTGGAAAGTTGATTTACATTTAACATCTACACGAATACACTTTTTAGAAATTTAATTGATTACAATTAGGAATTTCTGCTTAGGTATTACATTGAACTAAAATAGAATTTTCATCATGGTCCGCGGAAATATTGAAATTTCGTTCGGGTTGCGAACAGCGGTCTACAGTGAAAAAGCTTACCCCACCCTTGTCTGTCTTTTAGCATGAAAAATCATAGCTTATTTAATCTTTAATAGCAAAAGATTATTTCACTGTTTTGTTATATCTGTATTATATGTTTAAGCAGTTGAAACTATGTAGAAAAATTCATACCAATTTATGACGGTTTTAAACATCGCACTATTAAAAATCTTCTGTTTAATTGGACAATACGGATTATAACCTAGCGTCTTTTTATTTCCATGTTAAAAACAATAATCAGTCTAACGGTTAACATAGTTAAAAAAATATTACCTTTTTAGATTGAAAAAATATATGACACGAGCTGGACTTGACCCGGCACCCACAACATTCGTTGCTCTAACCAATTGAGCTACCATATCCTACACATCGTCGATTTTTTTTTCAAACCATTGATACGTTGCACCTCTCGAGCGATATTTTTTCAATCTTAAATCGTCTTTTTA